TTGGGTTCAAGAAGTGTTCGAAAGAAAGTTCTGTGTATCGAAGAGAACTAGGAGGACATCTGCTTATTGTTGCTATATACGTAGATGACCTCTTCGTAACAGGGAGTAGTACTAAAGAGATCAAAGAGTTCAAAAAGGATATGTCAAGTAATTTTGAGATATCTGATTTGGGTTTATTGACATACCACCTTGGGTTGGAAGTAAGACAGAACTCGGGTTGTATCATGATTGATCAGAAGGCGTACGCTCAAAGTATACTAGAGGAAGCTGCAATGAAAGACTGCAACTTGACGTGTATTCCAATGGAGTTTGGTCTGCAATTTTCCAAAGCATTGAACGAACCGGAGATTGATGCAACACTCTACAGAAGAAGAATCGGATGTCTCAGATATCTTATGCACACAAGACCTGATATGGCTTTCTCTGTTGGTATCTTAAGTCGTTATATGCATTCCCCAAGAGTATCACATGGCAATGCATTAAAGCAAAGCTTAAGGTATTTAAAGGGAACAGTCGGGTATGGATTGACTTTTAAGCAAGGAGGTTCTAAGGAGCTCATTGGATATAGTGATAGTAGTCATAATACTGATCCAGATGACGGAAGGAGCACAACCGGTCACTTGTTTTGTCTTGGAGAAACGCCAATCACCTGGTGTTCTCAGAAACAAGACACAGTAGCTCTATCCTCATGTGAAGCAGAATTCATGGCCGCAACAGAAGCTGCGAAACAGGCCATCTGGTTACAAGACTTAATGAGTGAAACTACGGGGAAAAAGATGAAGAAAACACTGATTCGTGTTGACAACAAATCAGCCATCGCACTTGCAAAGAATCCTGTGTTCCACCGTAGAAGCAAGCACATCCATAAAAGATTTCATTTCATTAGAGAACGAGTGGAGCAAGACAAGATCGACATTGAGCATGTACCTGGTACAGAACAGAAAGCGGACATCCTAACTAAAGCTTTAGCAAGAATCAAGTTCAAAGAAATGAGAGACAAGATTCAAGTACAAGATCTAAGTAAAGAAGGTTCGAAGCTTAGAAGGGAGAATGTTGGATAAGCTTCAAAGAAGATTACTTAGGAAACAAGTTATTCATTAAGTTAAGTAGAATAACTAATAGGACTAGGATAAAGCTAAGGTTCCTAATCTAATATGTAATAGGAAAAGATAAGGACTCCTATTAACTATATAAGGAGATCTATATTGTAAGTTGATCTCAAGAAGTTAAGAAAGATATAAAACGAAGCTACTGTTTTATAAACCTGTGTGTTAAACAAATACGATCCTTATATCTTTACTTCTATGGATTCTCTTTCACGTGCTCCCCTTGTATCCCTCTCAACCGCCTGTCTAGCCAAAAACCTTTCCTTTTCTTCATCATTTATTTCCTACTGTCTCTCCATTTCTTGAGATTTTTCCATCTCCACCCTCTCACTTGGTCTACTATGTCAGATAAAAGAAACCATCAAAGAAATTTTAGTTTAGCTAAACACAAAATCAAAATGAGAATGTTGAATATAACTGACAAGAAATTTTAAAACTTTCTAAATTTTCCACAAAGTACACATAAGAGAAGATAATATATGAACCTGTAAATAGCTCTCTATCTATGCAAGTGTGGTAGCTCTTAGCTAAAAACAAGAGCAAAACTAAAACTCTGCATATGAATAACAAGCAAAAAGTTGAAGACTTTCTAAGAGATGCACAGAGTACACATAAAAGAGAACCTTGTCTGCAAACAGCTCTCTCTCTCTCTCTCTCCATAAGTACTATGCAAGTTTGATAGATCTTAGCTATATTATACCTTTTTGAGTAATTTTTAATGCAAGTAAGCTCTAGGAGAATAGGGATGATCAAAAGAAATGGCTTATATAAATGACTAAACCAATAAATTTGGATTTCTTATAGAATTTATAAATCTTAGATGAAATGAAAGGGATTTTGAAAGAAAAATGAATTCCACTCAAATCTTTGATCCAATAAGACCTCCTAAATAATTACAAATTTACCAAAGCAAACTGTCCAGTTCAGTTGGGGTCAACCCATTCATTCTCTTCAAAATTCCTAAAATTTGACAGTATTTTAAGTTTTCATATTTATTCTTTCTTCGGTGAAACAAATCAATCTTTCAATCCCACTGATCTCCTTTCATCACTGTTGAAAGGATAATCTTCCAACAAAAAAATGAGTCAGATCTTTCTCTAGAAGAAAATAACAAAATAACCAATCACAAATTACCTATTGAAAGAATAGAAAAAACTAACCCAAAACGATATAACTTAGTAAAGTATTGTGCGACTATAAAATTCTGTATAACTTAGTAAATGAAAAAGAAAGAGAGCCATAAAAAGAACAAATTAACCATTTTGAATACAAAAGGAAAATGAAAATTGAAGCAAATGAACTCATCTTCATCACCATCAAACGAAACCAGCAATTCTCGACAAAGTGGCTCAAAAGACAAAACAACAATGTTTACAAGATTATGATTTTTTAAACCACACCATTTATGTTCTTTGCCATTAATTATACATTATTATTTTAACTTTCACATATTATTTCCATCAAAATATCCGCGTAGTAAAAATAAAAATTTATTATATGTACAAAACAATCAAACTTAATTAAATAATATATTACAACTAGAAAAATTCAAATACAATTCAAAAATATGATTTTCATTCTTAACGATTTATCCAGTGACTTAAACTTACTACAACTAAACAACTATAACGTTAATTGTAAACCAACTTTTACATTAAGATAGAACATATTAACGATTATATTTGATAATATAAATTCTTAAATTCTTAATAAAAAAATATAAAAAAATGTATTCCGCGCGTAGCGCAGATCGACTACTAGTAGTTACATATAAGAGCATCTTTATAGGTGAGTTCTTAGGAGGAAAAGTTGTTATGGGCCCCACCAAAAAATAAAACATGTTCCTTCCTGTTGCGAAACAAGAGATATGTTTTGTATTGTTGCGCGTGCTCCACTGACACATGACGGCATGCGATTGATTTATTTTTAATTTTTTTTCAACTCAGACAAAAAAAAAATAGTAAACCCAAGTTGGGTATTTGCGATAAAGATTCTCTAACTCTCTTTCACACCATCCAGATTCTACAAAAAAAGTACGTGATAAAGGTATTAGAGTCAATAACTTTTAAGCACAATTCTTAATAGTGTCAAATGGTAGATAGCTAATTAGGAAACTATTGTTTGTGTATACAGTGCAAATACTCTTTTAAAAACGAGTTTCGACACTATGCAAGCAAAACATAAGAGACACAACTCTACATTATTATAACTTTATAAGTAAGGCTGATATGCTGTTGAATGTCAGAAAACAAGATGTTGGGCTACTATCTTCCGATCGATAGGAGACCTCCTGAGTCCTGAGATCTTTTAGTATGTGTAAAGGTCCCACACATGTATGTGTGCTGTCCTTTTTCATCACGTACGTTTTAAGTTGTAACCTGTCAGGTGTTTGCTTGCGTCCGTGGTCTGACTAAACAAGTGTAAATTTCGTTCTATCTTCTCTATTAAAAGAGAAGTACCATTTATATCTACTACAAAAAGTTATATTGGACTATCTCATTAATATGACATATTTAAGTATATATATTAATCAATCAAATATATATAATTGGAGAAATATTTTAATAATAATAAGATATTAGTAATAAATTTGTTGAGAAAATATCTAACAAGATCTTACTAAGAAGTTTAAATATTTTATAAAATATGCATTATTTAATTTCCTGATTAATATATATATAAGTATCAATATTAATTTTAATTAAAAGTAAAAATTGCTATATTTCATAATTTTGTTATATTCTACATTATATTAAAATAAAATGCTATGTGAAATGAATATAAAATATATTAAATTGGTAAGGAAAAATATTTTATTTTAAAAATTTTCTTTTATTCAAATAAATAAATAAATATCACTCACTTTTAAAATATAATAAAGTTTTTAAATCATATAATATTTTTATAAAAAAATGTTAACATATATTTTTGTAACTCACAACAAATACATTATATAAAAAATTATATGTGAATATTTTTTTTAGTTTAAAACTTACAACAATATATTATATAAAAATAATTAAAATTATAAAATTATAAAATTATACAATATATAACAATAGAATGTACGTAAATCATATATATTTGAAAGGTTTTGTTATATTTATATAAAATGAAAAAATACCCGCACGGATGTGCGGGTTAAAAATCTAGTTGAAAATTAAGTACAACTCCACATAACTGAACCTGCTTGTTTGACGTGTAGCGCCATCAGATTCTTTCTTTTGTCACCGAACGGACGTTTATTAAACGGGGATAGAGGTGTCTACAAAGTACAAAAGTGCACACCGAGCTAACAAATCAGCACGGTATAATTCGCATAAGGCGTCAAAGATAAGATAAAAAAACAAATGAATCATGAATTAAACAAAGATTTTCTTAGTTCCGTGGATAATTAAAATCAAGGGCATCCTGCAGGAAATTAGTGATTTGAACGAGGTCACTGCAGGCCGTCCAAAACGATGTAGAAACCACCCGATTATGGGAAAGGCATTTCATAGTGCACTGCACATATACATAAGCACCATAACTCTGCATGTAGTGATAGAATCGGGTGGTGATTTCTGCACAACTTGATTCCAACTATTTCTCAGTCCGATTAGGTGTACACGCCCATCGCAGTCCACCCCATATCCGGACTAAGCTGCTGCTGGTGTCTCTCATCTTCCAAGAGATATATGGATAAGACACATATTAGTTGGACGTACGTGGAGGTCCATATTGATGTTGCAGATGCGGAACAGATAGTGTGCTTTCTTGTTTTGTGTAACGCATTGTACGATTTGGAGTTGCATGTTTCCAAGATGTCCCTGGTGATCAATTTATACCTGGAAAGGCACTTTCATTCCTTGCTTTTCAAAACAAAGGTCGAGTGTAATATGCTCTTTGCTGTCAAATAACTTGGTTTAAATTAACTGTAGATTGTCCATATACATCGTAACAAGCACGATCTGCTGGCTGTCACTAGTGAGACAGTTTACACTTAGCAAAGGGTGAGCAAAGAAGGAACAGCATTTTCACATCACAGACCTATCCGGATAATCCGGATCCACGGTTGTTCCATACAAACGACTTCGGACCAGATAATCACTATCCTGACTCCCAATAGTTTATATGGTTTTTGTAGCTAGAGAATATTCCACCACCATCAATGAGGCGGAACAAAGAATGTTTAAATATTGATCCTACAGATAATGTGAAATAAACAAAGAAGGTATCGAAAGAAACAACCTAAAACCTGATTATATATTATACAATACAAACACTCCAGCTAGCTCTAAGCCTCTATCACGGTACACTAGAGTGTTCAATACTGTTAGGCGGTTGCAGAGGAAGACAGTCCAACGCTCCATATACCTGAATTGCGTGAGTTTTGACCCATGTTAACCCGCTAGCAGAACAGAGAAGTAAAGGTAAAAAAGAAGTCATGAATCATGGGCATATTGTTCTCAGTCCATTAGCAATTCTCACGAACCTATGGATATAAATTCTCCCAAAATCTATCTTAGTTTTACATCAACTCTCGACAATAATACTAATACAAAAGAACTCTTAACAGAGCCAGATGTCATAAGAGTACCTGGTGAGAACCGTTAGCTTCAGGGAACTGATGACCTTGGCTTCCATAAATATCATCTGAGTTCCCATAACTTGCAACCAATCCAGGACCTTAACAACAACAAGTTACACAAAAGTCATAAAGCTAGTTTTGCAGGCAAATGCTTCAAAGTTTATCAGTAAACAAGAAAGCTACTTGGATCTTGAGCAGCCTCTTTAGCTTTGGTCTCCAAGTCAGCCAACTCTTCCTCAAGTTTCACAATCTCACGATTCAAATGATCAATAGTCTTCTCCATACCACGCTCATGGTGAAGATTACTCGCTCGCGTCTTCTTCTCCACCTCAAGAGCAGCTCTACACCAACCCCAACCATCATTACTAATCCCCAAAATATAACAACAAGAAAGGGCTCAATTCAAATTCAACTACTCACCTCCCTTTACTAACTTCCTCCCTAAGACTCTCAATCTCCACCCTAACCTCCACCGCACGATCATAATTAGGTTTAGCCTTCGCTATCTCCCCGTTAAGCATCGCAAGCTCCGCCGCAAGCTTCTCCCTATCCTCACCTAACCTCTCCACATCAGACCTAACCTGATCAAGCTCAGCTCCGATTCCGTTAACAACGCGAGCCTCCGCCTCCATCCTCAGCGAGTTCTGGTAAACCTCGCGAACCTTAGCTTCGGTGTCCGATTTAACCGCCGCGGCGGCTTCGAGGAGACGAGCGAGCTCGCGCTTGGCTAGATTGAGCTGATCCTTGACTCCGAGGTGTGCTAACGCTAGCTTCTGGTTGTCGGTTAGGATTGATTGGATCTCGTGGTGCTGGATCGCGATTTTCTCCTCGAGGAGAAGGACGGATCGGTTCGATTCGGTGAGCTGAGAAGGTAGTGATGACGAAGAAGACGGTGGGTAACGGTCTCTGCCGGCCATTTTTTTTTTTCAACGTTTTGATTCTCCGGTTATCTTCGCCGGTGTTGCGGAAGTTTGTTCTACTCGTCTTATCGTTCTACGCTCCTTGCTAAAGTAAGCAGTATATTTTAAAGCTAAAATGCGCACCCATTAGTTTGCTTTTGGTAGGGGATTCGTTTTTTAAAAAAAAACTGGGCCTTAAAAACTGGGCCTTTTGTCCAAGAAAAAAGAAAAAAAAAAAAAACTGGGCCATGGACATAGTGCTGGTTAGGATATTACTTGAGAGAAGCTTGACCCATATTAGAGCATTTCCAATGTAAAACTTCTTTTTTCTCTTCAAAATGAAATAAAAGAGAATATGGAGTAAAAATGCTATAACCCCACTCTATTTTCCACTCTATAATGGAGTGATGAAAAAAACAAAAAACAGATTACTCCATTTATGGAGTAAACTCTATTATGGAGTGGGAAATGGAGTAGGGTTGGAGTGTTTTCTACTCCATATTCTTTTTTACTATATTTCAGAGTAAAAAATGGAGTTGAGTTGGAGATGCCCTTAGAGTAATCTTACTCACTACTCTATTGTGGAGTTGAACTTTTATTTTAATGAAATGATGTTTTAGTCTTGAATGTTTTATTTCATAATTAATTAATATTTAAAATAATATAATAACATGTAAGGAAATATGATATTGCACAAAAAATTATTTAATAATTTAACATTAAAGATGCATAAACTAATAAAAATCAAAACCAAACATAAATAATATAAAATAAATGTAATAAAAATATAATTTAATAATGTATAAATTGCTTTCTGAACTACCAAGATCGGTGAAGTATTGTGCAAGTAGAAAAGATGAATTTGTTTATTTTGTAGATCAATATTTTGATTTAAGGGAGAATTTGTAACATAGCTAAGTTTTGTAAGATAATTAAGTGTATGTAACTGAATTTGACATAATTTGGCAACTAACAATTGCGTCTCCTATGATTCGGTTTTACTCTTTTCTCGTACAGGTATCAGGTAAAAAGGAAGAATGTGGGATGACGTAGGAAAATTGGGGGTGGCTAATATTTACCACAAAGTGTTAAAATCAGAGGGAGTTTAATAAAACCACGTTACACGCCCATTAACCTCATACGATGTACTTTTTTGAATAAATATGCGGAGAATAAAAAAACAGGCTTTTAGTTCAGATTTACATATGTTATTTAGTTCAAATTGAGTATATATAGTTAGCACAACTAAAAACAAAAAAACGAGGAAAGAAAAACAAAAAAAAATGAATGTCTTAAGTTTATACAGTTTTTTTTTTGTAATAAATAATCTTATACCCTAAGCTTTTTTAAAGGATTATAACCTTTTTCAATATCTAATTTCCTTTAATTTTGATTGTACTGTTTTCGTTTTATAGCAACTAATAGATGGTTTACCCACATATATGGACATAATTTTCTTATGAATAGGATTAATCTATTTTTTATTAATTCAAATACCAGTATAATAAGTTATACTATTATTTATGTTTTCAAAACATTTAAATCAAACATCAAATTAATTATAAATTGCAATACTCACATATCAAAAACAGTTGTATAAAATATATTTATACAAATATCTTTGCTGGGTTGATATTTAATTTTAATTTTCAAATTTTACAGTAAAAAATATATTTTCAAGATAAGAACATAATACATAAGAATTATCATTTTTTCTTAAAAATATAATTTTATTAACATAAATTAGTTTAATTATAAATAAAATTATTAAAAACATGGTAAATAAGGACAACCAACTAAAATCATGGAAAATTGGCAAATCAGAAAATTCTTAAATTTTATAGTAAAAATAAATTTTCAAGATAAAAACATAATACATAAGAATTATCTTATTTTCTAAAAATATATTATTATTAATACCAATGTGTTTTAATTCTATAATAAATTATTTATAGTAGAAAATATATTTTCAAGATAATAACATAATACATAAGAATAATCTTATTTTCGAATTTTTTTTTTATTAACATAAGTTCGTTTTAATTATGTAATAAAATATATAAAATTATTAAAAACTTGGAAAATAAAGAAAATCAACTAAAATCATGGAGAATTTAACAAATCAACAAATTATTAATTTTTAAGTAGAGAATATATTTGCAAGATAAGAACATAATACATAAGAATTATTTTATTTTCTGAAATATATTATTATTAATATAAATATGTTTTAATTATATATAAAATTATTGAAAACATAATAGATAAACAAAATTACCTAAAACTATGAAAAAGTTGATAAATTAGAAAATTTACTAGTTATAATTTTATATCTTAATTTTTTAATTTTATAGTAGAAAATATATTTTCAAAATATACATATGAGTTATCTTATTTTCAAAAATATAATTTTATTAATATAAATTCATTTTAATCATATAATCATATATATATATAATTATTAAAACATGGAAAATAAGGAAATCAACTAAAATCATGGAGAAATTGACAAATCAGCAAATTTTTAAAATTTTTAGTAGAAAATATATTTTTCAAGATAACCACATAATACATAATAATTGTTTTATTTTATAAAAATATAATATTATTGATGTAAATTCATTTTAATTATATAATAAATTATATATATAATTTTTAGAAACATGATAGATAAGTAAAATTAACTAAAATCATGGAAAAGTTGACAAATCGGCAAGTATACTTTTCAAATAATAGTATAAATTGCTATAATAGTTTGTTTATATATAAAATTGTTGTTTTGTATTTTCTTTTTTTCTGTCACCATTATTGTTTTATATTTACAATACAATAATTTAAATTAAGTATTTGTTTTTGTTTCAACTCTCTCATACTATTAAATAGGTAAATAATTTTTTTTGATATACGGAGTATTAGGTAATCCTTTATATATTAAAGGGAAAATATTGTAATAAATGGTTTATACTATAATGGACACATGATATTCTCATAGTAATTTGAGAGTGAATATGCTAATGTGTCACGTACAGAAAATATGTTTTATCAAACTTTACATAAATGTGTTTACATTATGTACTTTACATTTTTTCAATATAAAACTTACATGCAGCGTTTTATGGGTTATACTAACATTCCATACAAAAATATTATTTACAAGAAATTAATTGACTGGTCTTCTCCTTCATAAACTTTTTAAACTCGTTTATATAATATGTTTTAGTGTTGTTTATCAATACTAAGTTCACATACAATTTCGAGAAGGAAGGATCGAGTGAAGTAATATATAGAAATATAAGAACTTCAGGTGATGGATTCGAAAGAATCGCGGGAAGAAATCACATTTTACGAATGAAACCATAAAACCTTTCAATCATCGGTTGTTGATGGTAAGTACATCTTACGAATGTGAATACATGCTTAAGAATCTTAGGCTTTTTATTTTTTTTAGCTAACCCAACTATAAAATATTTATTGCCATAAATGACCAATGTTAAAAATTGAACAGTCCAATATCTAACACAATACACCAAAAAAATAAAATACAGCAGCCCAATTATATATATATATATATAGATTATTTATAAATAAATTTTGATTTTCTTTATATAAAAAATCACTAATGTCTAGACCAATTTTATTTTAATATTTATTTTTGAACAAAAATGTCTTTTTGTATTAATTAACAATACTTTTATATACATTTATCAATCACCTCTAATACTTTTACATATATATGCACACATTGACGTGAGTACATAGATAACAAAATATTCATCAAAAATTAAATATCTAATTTCCTGGAAGTTGAAATATCCTTTTCTTAGTGTTTTTTTCACTATCGGCCAGATTGTAATGAAATGATTTTTTAATAATTTTCTTTTTTTTCTTTGACTATTATTCATTTAGAAATTATAATATGAAATCATTTGTTCGACTTCAGGACTATCTAAAATTCATATAACATGAAATCAAACAAACAAAACTAGTGTTTGGTTATCACCAAAATAAATCAAAAACATCACACATTTTAACGAACAAAAATATAAAAATATTAATTTAGAATATTAGTTATATTTTAGTAGAAGATTAAAAATCCAAAAAACTAACCTAAAACCAAACTGATATACAGATTAAACAAATTTAATGTCTTCGTATTATTAAATAAAGAAACTAATAATCATATTTCACATAAGCCCTGAATTATTACCTAGTTATATCGTAAAAGATATAGAACGACTGAAACTAATGGTAATTCTGATATTGAAAACTAGAGCTAAGACTATAAATAAGTAATGGTAATTTCTCATCAGTTTGCATGGATTCTTTGATATGCTAGGAACAATATGGTTTTCAGTAACATCGTCAGGGACCCCAGAGACACCTTACAATTGGCAGAAACGGAAGCCAAGCTGTGGGATGAAGCACAAATATCACTAGAGAAAAAAATCACTCAAACTCGAGAATCAGAGTTATTAACAATTCCTCATGTCTCAGGCAGATGGTATTATACAGATGGATTATGGAAAGCAGGGGATATGGTCCGGTCAAGGATGGTATAGTACCTTGGAAGGGTTCGAAAGTCTGATGGGAGCAAGGAATACGAGGGCTAGTCTTTCTCCTCTCCATGCTGAAATAGAGTCGTTTATTTGGGCAGTGGAAAGTATGCCGAACTTACGACAGTTCCATGTGACGTTTGCAACATATTATTCTCAGTTGGTGAAGATGGTTTCGGAACCAGAGGAATGGTCTGCATTTGCAACATACTTGGAAGATATTCGTTTACTGAAGGAGAGTCATATACATACACCGAACGAATAATACAAGGACATATAGTCTAGCACGCTGTGCTCGGAAATAATAGTTCTTCGTCGTTCACATGGATGCAGAATTACCAACATGGTTTACAGAATTTTAGTTAAATATGTATTTTGATGACAAAAAAAAACTAAGAAGATGCGGCAACTACTGAAGTCCAAGTCTACGGATTATCACGAAGCTCTGATATTTTAGATTGCTTCTTTTTTTTTTCTTACAGAATCTCACAGTTACAGACTTATTGAAGTCCTTAAATAAACTGGTCTTTAAT